GGTCCGGCTGTGGGGCTGTGCGTGCATGCGAGGGTGTACGGGCTTCCATGCACCGGGGAAAACTTAGCTGCTAGGAGAAGCTGTAAGCCTTTGTGGGATTGCTCTGATACTGTGCTGCTTTAAATAATAATAATTTTGGGCTGTGTTGGAGGGTTACAGAAGCAGCAAAACCACTCCCTGTCTGTATTATATTAGCTGCCTGGCAGTGCGACAGCGTCTGGCGCAGCTCTGCAGGGGAGGCAGACTGCAGGAGAGGCAGAGCTCCATCCTGCCCGTGCTGCCAGGCTGCACCAGGGCATTTACGATTTCCCTGAACTCTGAGCCATCCTGCGTTGCCGCTCTCGGGCACTAATGAACAGCTTGGTGGCTGTAGGCATTGGGGTCAGCTCTGCCTCGTGGTCCTTAGGCTTTGGGTGCTGTCTGGGGTCCCACTGGTGGAGTGGCCGGTGCCCGTGGCGTGGGAGGGGGTCGCTTGCCCTGCTATGGGGAAGCTGCCCGGCTCCATCTGCCTCATGGGCATGGCCTGGCAAAAGCATGGCAGGTCAGGGACCGGCTCTTCCCTCCCTGGGAGGAAACTGCTCCTGCAGAAGCAACCCCCCTTCACATGTGTGCTGGTGGGCAGGCATGGGCAGCGCTTGCCCTTCCATCGCCCTGCTTCCACGGCAGGTGCCTGCTGTTGTCTGGCTTCACCCAGCAGCTTCCCTGCCTACAAACACCATTGGTGTGACATGCTGGAGTAGGTTTGCTTGTGAGCAGTGATTTTTTTCCACCACCATCACCATCCTTGTATCTCCTTTCAGTTGAAAGGACAGAGCTGGGAGGGCAGGAGAGCTAGCACTAGGTTTGAAAATGCTGGAGGTCTTGCGTAGCACTGATGTCCTCCTTGGTGTTTGGAGCAGGTGAACGTCTCTACCCTCTGGTCCATGCCATGCATCCCTCGCTGGCCGGCAAGATCACTGGGATGCTGCTGGAGATAGACAACTCCGAGCTGCTGCTGCTCCTGGAGTCCCCCGACTCCCTGCGCTCCAAGGTAGGAGGCACTCGGTGCCCAAACAAATCGCATCCCAAAGGCCAAACTACCTGCTGCTGCAAGGAGAGGTGATCGTGGCCCGGAAGATTGGCCAAGGACACTGATAGCCATGGGAAGAGAAAGTAGCTGGGGGTTTGTGGGGGTTTTTTCAGTTGGTTTTTTTTTTTTGAGTGAAAAATGAGCAGAAGGGTCCCTGGGTTGATGGCACTGCACCCAGCGCCTGGATACCTGCTCACCTTCAGCAAAAGGAGAAGCTCAGAGCAGCTCCCTGAAAGGACGGGCCAAGCTCCGAGGGTGGTTTGGAGGTGGCTGGGAAGTGAGAGAGGAAAAGCAGGGTGGGTGTCGCTCCCTGGAAGGAGATAGGGAGATGCTCTTTCCTGAGAGTGAAAACCGGATAAACACTGCCTCTCTGCAGCATTTCTTCAGTTTCCTCCTTAATCCTGGTGAATATTTAGCTTTGCTTCCCATCAAAACAGTTGCAGTGAATTGACTGCATCTCCTTGTTGCTCCTTGGAGACAGGATTCACTTTCACCGTTTTATTGATGTTTTTTGAAGGAGCCTGGGCTCTGCTGGGTGGCGTCAGGCAGCTTCAGTTACAGAGAAATCCAATTTCTCTCTGGCACATTCTGACTCCTATGGAAAAGGAGAGAAGCCCCAGCATTTCCTTAGGGAAGAGACAGAAGAGGTGCTTGGGCTGATCAGTCTCCTGCAGAAGCAGCAGACTTGGATTTTTTTTTTATTATTATTATTCAAGTTCTTTACCTCTTGGAAGTGGGTCTGTGCGGAGGCCAGATCGGGACCTGGAATATTGCATTTCTTGTGTAGTGTGCTCCGACATTGGGGCAACTCACCTTCTCCCCCTCCTTGTGCTCTCTGTTGTAAGATCGAGGAAGCGGTCGCTGTTCTCCAAGCGCACCAGGCTGCCGAGCCGTCGCAGAAGAGCAGCACGGCGGTGTTCCTGCAGTGACCGTGGGTAGGTGCGGGGAGATGCTCCGGGTGTCGGGGTGTGCACGGTGTGCTCAGGGTCTCTGGTTTCTGTCTCTGAAACTGGGGATTGGGTTTCTTGTCCAAACCAAGTAAGGCTTGATGAGCAATGTAAGTATCTCTCTTTGTAATATTCCAATTCTTACATTGCACCCTCCATTTTCCAGACTTAAGCATACTGCAAAGACATGGTTCTGTGTGGGTTTTTTCTATGTTGATGAGGGCAACAACTGTGCAACCAGAAAAGAAGATAGGAAAGGACCTTTTCTGTAGGACTAGTGGGGTCCAGCACAATCTTTCCTGGGACTTCCCAGTGTTTTTTGCAGAATCTTTTTGGTACATAGCCTATAAAAAAGCTAGCAGCCCTGTGTGGGCTTGATCAGGAGAGCTGGCCCTGCTGCTGAGGCTGGGACAGACACCCTAACAAGCAATTCAGACTCTCACCTACCCCTTTGAGGATAATATTTTATTGACTTGTGATCTCAAGGAAACTGTGTGTTAATCCAAGTTCAGGTGAACTTCATCTTGCCTGGATGAAATTCTTCCTCTAGCAGTTGAAAAATGCGTATGTGGGTTCTTTTGTTTCTTGTAGACATCAGGACTGAGGGCGAGCCCTAAGAACATTGCCTTGGAAGAACAGCAGCAGCAACCTCACCGTGCTTTTGGAATCGTGCCTGTACAATGACCCTGGCTTGACTTCAATGCCCCATCCTATTTTTGTGTATTTTTGCAGAATTGCTTCCTCCTGCACCTGTAAAAAAAAAAATTCCCAAGTTAATTATCTTCTTGCCACTGAAAGAATCTTTTGAAATGTAGTGTGGAACCCAGCCTGGTTCAGTTGCCCAGGAAATGACAAGTGCTGATGAATCATCATTTTTAGTGAATTTATTGGGTTCTGTAGTTTTATTTGTTCCTGTAGCTGACACTAATAAAGAACTGATGCTTCCACCCCCAAAGCATGGGTTAGTTCCCTTTGTAGAAACACAGCAAATACTTTTTCTCTGTTTCATGTAGGTGGAGGGATGGACTTAGGGCAGGCTGCTGTAATTAGTGTTTGAAGCTTGTGATGCTGGTGGGGTGGCAATCCTGAGAGCTGATAGGAAGGGACATATAGGATTAAATGAACAAATTGCTGACCAACAGGCTTTCCTGATCCTTTCTGACTCTCTAGGAGGATGGCTTTAAGCAAATTTCATACCATCTAGCTGGATTTTTATCCTTTCTAGCTAGCAGTTTTTAACTTCCTTTTAAAAGGCATTCTCTTCCTGTGGTTCTCCTTTTGTAATGGACCTTGTACGCCTGCAGTACAGGCACCCAGTGTCTTCTGCTGGTCACCATGCTTTGTGTGTATGTGTCAGTGGTGCACGAGACCCAGCTTTTGAGGTATTGCAGAGTAGCTGTAAACTGAAAGCTGCTTCTCCAATGTGTGTTCCTGACCAGTGGTTTCAAGGAGTCACTGATGGACCTGAAAACATTCATAACCGCATCATGTCCCACTGGGATGCTCCCGACTCGCAGGAGTAGCTGGGACCTGTTATTACTGTGTTCTGTCTCTGGGCCGCTCCCAGAGCACCTCATTATCATTATCCTGGCCTTAATGCTCTGCTCTTCCTAGTTAGGAAGGAGCTTCAGTCCCTAGAAGCTTGTTGGTACCGACACTGGCAATGTACTGACCTTACTTGACTGCTTCCTTGAGCTGACAGAGGCACACCTCCATCAGCACCACCCACCTTCTTTCTGTCCAGCTTCTGTGCTGGTGTTGCCGTCTCCATCTTCCTTCTGTGCTCTCTCGTACTCTTGCTTCAGCTCGCTGCTGAGTCATCCCTCCTACCTCTTGTTTTCCTTCTAGCATTTTAATAGAATGGCTTACACATTTGTTCCTGCATGATGTCTGCTCTGCTCAGCTGGGACTCTTCCCTGGGGCTTTTCATCACTCTTTTTTCTTGCCTTTACTTTGCCAATTCTTCCTCTGACCTCCTTAAATATTTCTTTTCCTCACAGTGGATACCTCTGCCTGAACAGTACACTTATTAGGTATTTCCTTCTCAGGGAGATGCTTATAAAGAACTTTAATCCACTTAACAACTTAAATGAAGGTCCTGTATATTATTTCTCCCAAAGTGCAACTGGCTGGAAGCTTTTATGCTTTGTCTTTAGAGGAAAAATATGTATTTGCATGACTGTAATGCATATAAGGAACTGGAACAGAACTGTGCAAGTAAACTTCATTCTGCTGTTGGCTAGCTTGTCTGCAACCTTTTTTCAGGTGTAACAGAGCAGTTCAGATGCACTTGTGACAGCATCTCAATGCTAGACAGCTTGGCTGGAGAAGACAGCTGTAAAGCTAGAGGGAATGCAGAGTGGGGCCAAGGAACACAGGGACATCAGAATAGCCTAAGAAAGGATGTGAAGAAGGACCAGGGTCTTTAAAATCTATCAGAAAAGGTGAAGTGGGAGCTTGGATCTCCTGTGTCTACTGGAAGATACTGGAACGTTTTCAGAGTAGCTCCCTGGCTGAACTCCTTGGGGAAGCCTGAGGCTTCAGGGACTTGAGGCAGGAGCAGCAATGTAAATGTGAATCTGGAGTCTCCAGTCTGGAACAGCTGCTGTGGCTTTAGGTGTGCCTCTGCGACTAACGCTCTCGGGCTGCCCCTGCAGACAGCACTACCTTTGCATGCCTGGGAGGGGTCCTGCACAGAACAGAAGGGGAGACAGGAGGGTAAGTCACCCTGAGCTTGAAGTAGTGTGTCTTGTTGCTGTGCTTGATCTTTGTCTACCTGGTAGCATTGCTGGGGAAAGCCTTAGAGATAAGGTACAAAAATGTGTTGCCGTTGCTGAGAGGGGAAAGAGATGGTGAATGCTGCTGCTTGGAGGTGGTGTAATGAATTGTAGTTGAACACTGCAGGGATCTGCCACTCCAGATAACAGCAGGGCTGTTTGCTATAAGGATAGCTCTTAACTCAGTGAAGCCAGTCTTCCTCCTGTATTCTGTGACCTTCCTTTGCTTATCTGTGTACTGCTGGCCTGCACTTCCCCACCCTGAAATCCATCACACTTACTTGCTAAGAGCTCAGGCAAGTGCTGGTTGTGGAATCAGTGGAGCTGCTGCACTTAGAAGTGGGAGTACAGTGTATGGAGCAATTTGTGCCTCCCAGGGAGGAGTTGTTTCAAGCCCTGGCCCATTACAGCTGACAGAGTACAGCCCTGGGACCCACAAAAAGCTGCTTAATGTCAGGCTAAGGTAAGAGGTTTTTGTCTTTAGTGGCATTAGAGGGATTGTCTGCTTTCTAAATTCAGTTCAGGGGGGTTCCTGCCTGAAACACTGACTGCTGGGAGAAGTAAGGTGGGAAACAAAGATCTCTGAACTCCAACTTATGGGCTGGCTTCTGTCTCCTGGTCTATACTGTAAGTTGGCTCAGGTCTAGTGTTGTCCAGCATCTTGACTTATTAGTTGAAGCACTCTACCCATGCATGGTGTGCAAGGCAGAGCAGTGGTTAGAAACCCTGAGGTATTGTCACAGTCTGACACAAGGCACTATACTGCAGTGCTTGAAGTCCTCTGACAAAAAGGGGGATGGTATGAAGTAAAGTGGTTAAAGTGTTCCAGTTCCCCTATACCATCCATCACATAACAAAACACAGCTCTAAAGTGAAAATAAACATGGCTTTAATGAGAACTGGTTTTGACAGTTCATAGAATAACTCCAAATATCTCCTTATCTACTGTCTTAAGTCAGTGCCATCAATACTAGATAAGGAGAAGATCAAAAAGTATAAACATGCATTGAAGTTGGGATGTTACTGCATATCCTCCTCCCTGTAACACCCTGTAGCAACTGCTCCAAAAGGCACAGAGGAGCTAAAGTGGTTTTTAAAAAAACAAACCAAAAAACAACACAAACAATTGTAAAATTCCCAAGCACCCAGAATCTGAAAGTAGTGCACAGTGTAACAAGGCAGGTTTAACTTGCTGCTGTTTTCTTAAATGTGCAGAGTAAGTAAAAATAAAAGAAAGCTGCTACTGTAAACATCTGCCCAGCCACACTAAGCAGCAGAAACTCAGCTGAAGGCCAGCACGCATCAAGTGGGAGAGGGAACAAGCTCACTCCTGTGCAAGTAACTGTGCCTCTGTTACAAGAATGGTAGGTGGTGCTAGGGCAACGGCAGCAGTTCCTGCAGCAACCTTATTTATTTAAGTAATAGCAGCACAAATGCAGCAAAACTGTCACCTGAATAAGGACAAAAACCCCAAACCTCTGTCTGTAGCTCTTCAGAAAGAGAATAGCCACTTCAAATGCATCTTAGCCAACATGAAGAGATTCCCTGAGGCCAATGGTTACACACAAGTTGACTTCAACCAGGGAAGTTAGCCTATATGCCTCTCAGGGAGGAGCATTAAAACTTTGAATGATCTTAGAGCCAGATAATAGTTTGATACAGATTGTGTATCTTAACATTCATTGTGCTGGCACAGAACCTGTTACATCTCAGCAGCAGGGGAAGATAGATTTCAATACCGATCCTGCATTAAGATTGGTCCCGGTAACAACATCAGAAAGGAAAAAGGTTTCTTCTGCAGTGGAAAACAAAGCTTTCCTTGTTGCTTGGTTACCCTAGGCTCTGTTCAGTTCTTGCAGTAATCTCAGTGCAGCTGTGTTCTTTGGTTCAGTTTTCAACAAGCTCTTGATATCGGCAATACTTGATTTGTAATCCTAGAAGGAGAATATGTTTAAAGCGTTAGTGCATTAAAAATACAGTCTAAGGCTGCAGAATTACTACCCAGCCGCAAAGGCAGAGCAACTAAGCCTATGACTCCCTCTCTATAATTGCTTAAGCACTGGCATTGATGTAGCTGTTCTAAAACATGCCTAAACTAGGGCTGAGAAGACAATTTCATCACTCAAGTGGGTTCTGAGTCCAACACCAATGCAGTATGTCATCCAGTACTGCCTACAGAATCTCTCACCAGACACAAAATGATAG